ACTGACTCTCTGATAGTTATCGTACAGTCAGATAGACACGACTTTGCCCATTTGACAGTTTTTATCATGATAAACTGTGTCACAGTAAGTCACAGTGAGCTTTTCTGAGTTTATGGTGGAGATCAAACTCTTTCCACTGCATGTCTGATTATGAAGAGGCCTGTTTAACTGGATTTATGTGTTAAATGTTAAATACAAATAACTGGACTCGAGTTTGTGACGGCGTTTTTTCAAAGTGGCGCTACTTTGTCTGTACGAACTTACCAGACTTCAGAAAAAATAAATATTGTGACTTTACTGCATATTGTGAGGCATTGTGATAGAATATTTATGCCATATCGTCCAGCTCTACAGAAATGATGTGATTATATTTTTGCCACATCACCAGCCACTAACACAACCATTACATCACTCACATCTCACCTGGCCTTGTGTGCACTGTCTGATGGGAAATAGACGTCTGCGAGCCTTTTAGAGTAAAAACATACCGACGTGGATTTGAAAAAGTTCAGCTTTCTGTCTTTCAAAGTCGTCTGAAGCTCTTATCTGCTAGTAAACAGTGAAACACTTTGTTTCCTGCGAGTCTGTTTTTGTTGCAATGTTTTGACTTGCCTGCTCTAAACATCACGCAAAACAGTGGCCTGTGATTGGTCAGCTTTCACGCCAGTCAAATTTCTCCTAAAGAAGGTGGTTCTCGGTCACGCTCAGCACCAAAATCCACCTCCTCACCTTCCGAGACGCAGAGGTCTGGCTTACGGGACTGACAGCTTAGTAACTTTGTTTAGACCCGTAAACCTCTGAGGTCATGCATGAAAAAATAGCTGCTTAAAAGCTGCTTTAAATTTACATGATTCGAATGTGCCACACTGACTCAACACGACCGAAACACGTCACATCAGCATAGCTACTAAGTGTCAGTACTTAATTAACTGACTTTACTCAGGCTGATGTGTGAAGCCAATGTAAACATGTGAATCAAGACAATGTTTTTCAGTGTTTGTTGTTCTGTAGTCGTCGTCATGTCTGTATTATGAACTCCAGGTCTAAGCCGTTTATCTTTATGGGGAAAATGAGCAGCACTTTTAAAAAATCATCAGTAAACAAACACGATCCGACCTCGATACCTGAGTACGTTTTCACCTGGACGTCACTGGATCCTCTGAACGACAGAGTCGTTAAAGAGTCAAAACACGAATAATGCTGCACACAGGCTGCAAGTAAGCTGCGGTTCCCTGTATGGCGATGTCAGTTCAGTGCGCAGCTGTGTTAGCTTACATATATTAATATTCATATCACGACACCTAAACAACCTCATAATTACAGTTACAGGACAAAACATATCTAATTCTAATTGAGAAAAACGGTTTAGACACCAACTACAAAACAACAACACGACGTCAGAGTCTTTCAGGGTTTCAGAGCTACAGAAGAAAGAAACACAGAAAAACCTTAAACTGACCCACTTTACCAGCACATTCACACGCATAACAGGACAACCGGCTTCACAATAAATACAGTGGATTTTCATTCCAGTGTCTCCACCATAGCGGTCATTTCTAAAGCCTTTGGGACCCCAAGGCCTGGGGGGCTCGCATGCTTTGGACAATCCACTGCAGATATAAACAAAATGAACAGCCCTTCCATTTGTATAAAAGACTAAATAAACAGAATAAGTGAAGAATGTCGTCTGTTTTCAGGCCTGTTTCATTTTTTCAATCATTTCCATTAATGACTTTGTTGTTGCCGCTCAGATGAGATTCTAGCATTCGTTTGTTCTATATGAGACTATTTTTTGCATTATGACTGAGAAAACAAGAAGCTAATCGTAAGGAGTAAATGCAATAAGATATATCGCATTAATAAAGTTCTAAACTAAAATTAATACACTTTTAAATGACTATTATTGTATAATTGTAAATATGAGGGGTCACAACAGTAAAACGTCTAACAAACGAGCCCACGTTCTTCTGCTGGCGGAGTGATCAGTGAAGTGTGGCTGGTATTCAGTAATTCAGTAATTACTGTGGACACTTTGAAATCCCGTCACTGTAATTTGGTCAGAGTTGTTGCGGTTTCAGTGGAGATCTGTAGATCTGTAGATCAGCTCTGCTTTCACAAACTCCCGCTGCGCCCGTCTGATATGGCCCCTCCTCAGAGCAGAGCTCAGCACTCGGCAGCCGCAGCACAGCAGAAGGGGGAGCAGGCAGAACTTTACATCCCTCAGTATTCGGATATTCATTCGTTGGGTGGGTATTAAGTTCCTAACTCTTTTTTGCGAAATGTAGCCCATCGATAAAGGCGAACTGCAAAATACTGTAATGTTTGGGTTCTCAGGAGAAACTCAGACGACTCCAGGTTTTGGGCCACAGTGCAGCTTCGTTTTTAATCTGCTGAGAAGAAACACAGCCTCTCCAGCGCTAACAGCTCTGCCCTACTCCATTCAGGCTCTTCAACATAAAAGTCCTTGTATGAATGAACCTAAAACAGCCCAACATGAACATTTCTTCTCTTTAAGAAACTGAACCGCTCACAGCTCAGCGAGTACATCCTGCCAGCACAGTCTTGCGCCATTTTATAGTTTTTAGTCAACCCCCCCTCCCCCATGCCCCTCAAATATACACCTAATATTTGAGCCCAAAATACAGTATTTGGGACAAACCTAGAAAACATGCATGCTTACAGTAAAAGTCTGTGCATGTATGAGTTCAGTGATAAACAGAGTTCAGCTTTAAGTCGAACTCTTAACTAAATGTTTCACGGTGAAACTGGAACACAAACCTCGGCCTGTCACTGTTACTACAGAATCGCCTGATCACAACTGTGAGACGATCAGTTATTTACCTGACTGCAGTCACTTCACACAGTCGCTGGATTTCAGTCATGCAATGCGGCAAAAAGCAGAATCAGTGTTTTTGGTTGGGCTGAGGTGAATAAATGCAAATAAACACTGCGTTAAATGAGACATCATGGAACTCATGAACACTTCTACCGTGGAGCTCTACTCTAACGTTAAGAGGGCAGCGGCAAGAGATGGTTGTTGTTAGCTGTAGCTGATGCTAAGGCTTTTAGCATGGATGCTAACAGAATGAAAGCTTTTTTGTTTCCATTTTCACTCTGAAGAACAAAAGCAGCTTTGCCCGACTCTAAACGCGATTGTGTGTAACTGTAAACGGTTGTTTGAGTGAACATTTTAGGTTGTAGTTTATCGGCTGGACACGATGAACAAAAAGACAAATTGTTAATCACAAATATTTGTGTGACAATTAATCATCAGCTACACTTTCAGAATCATGTCAGCCCCACACAAAGTTAGAGTTAGCTTAATGCTAACATAAAATGGAATATCTAATATACACGCTAGCAGATATTAGCAGTGTTGCTGATAAACAGAGGCTGCTAATAATGTTAATATTTCCACATTATCGTTCTAATCATATGTGTGACACGTTAATGATGATAAGTGCTGTTCTAAAGGTGGCACATTAAAGGTTCTAGTAGTTTGTTCTAAGCTGAATTTCATGTTGGAGCAGCTGTTGGTAAAGATTTCAATGCTCTCAACTCCAAATCCGATGGCTAATTAGACAGTGATACGCAGTGAGCACCGGTATGTGGACAGTTTTTTGTTTTTATTTCTAAAAATAATAAAGTGATGGATATTCATCTTTTTTGGATTGGCTTTTTATTAGTAACAGCTTTTTATTTTGCTTGTTATTCTATTGTTTTTACTCTCATTCTTACCGAGTTATTCATGTTGATCAATTTTATGTATGAAAATTGCTACATGAATAAAGTTGTCATTATTATACTGATTATTTTATTGTAAATATTGTGAACATACATTGCTGTTTAAAATGACTATATGAATATATCTCTGTAACCTTCAGAACATATTTTAATTTCTTATTTTATTAATACAATATTGTAAACTGATAAAAGGCAATGATGTTCAAATATGTTTACATGCACAGTGTTTATCCTGCAATCTTTCAGCCTTTCAGCAAAGAGGCCTTCGACATTCTCTGATAAGGAACTCAGGTCAACCTCAGCAAAAACAACAACCTCAGTTCTTCGCTGATATTTACATTCTTACTGAACGCTCTTCTATAGCATAGGCTGGAAGGTAAATTGAGGGCAGGAATGATCCCAGCCCAGGCCTGAACAGGCCGGGACAGGATGAGGAATGCCGCTCCATTCACTTCCGGGTTCTTTGGCCAACTCCCAGAGGAGGATCCAAACAGGGCTGCCGACGTGGGTGAGAGAGAGAGAGAGAGAGAGAGAGAGAGAGAGAGAAGAAAGAAGGAGAAGGAAGGAAAAAGAGGTTCCTCATGTACCTGAATAGCCCGGTCATCCTCAGTGAGTGGGGATCAATAGACTTTGATGGGCGGAATGTGAATAAAATAAAATTAAATGAAATAAAAAGTGAAGGAAATGGAACCTGAAATGGGAGTCCCTGGTCAGAAAGTTGAAGAACAGATCGATTAAGAAGGGATCACAAAATAAACAAGAGGAATAGCCTAGGAAAACAAAACAATAGGCTGAAGTTGGGCTGCTTTTTGGAATTTTCCCGTTCCACCTTAAATGGTCCAGAGGCATTCTGAGGCGCCAGAATGTAACTGCTGCACCATTCAAGGTGGAACGGGAAAATTCCAAAAAGCAGTGGGGAAAAATGAGAAAACTGGAGAAAACTTCTCCAAAAGCCTGTCAGATGAGCAACCACACGAGCCCACCCTAGACAAGACCCCCTCTAAAGCCATCAAAAGCCCCCCATTCACTCTGCTGGCCAAACCAACCTGCTAAACTACTACTAAACACAGCCTGACCTCCTGACCCGAAGCCTATTCACACTGCAGGCCAATCAAAGAGGCAGAACACACTCAGAAAGTTTCCTTTGTGCTGGAGCTTTTTTTGTTCCAGGCGCTTTTGTGCCGCTGTCCCGCAGAGAGACGCGCACAAAAGCGCAAAGCAGGAGCAAATCTGCCTTTTTTCAAATCTGCTCTCACCTCATGGCTGGACCTCAGGTTCTCCACTGCTCCACAGGGTTCGCTTCTTCACAGATCAGAGCCAAAACAGAGAGAAAAAGCGGTCAAACGCGGACGAGACGGTCATGAATCCGCCCTCAGAGGGAAGCGAGCAGCAGCTCAGCGATGATTTCCTGGTTTGGGAAGGGACAAAAAAAGTGGGAGGGAGAGAGAGAAGCAGGCAGCATGTCAACTCCAGTCTCCAGCCGTCCGCTCCAAACCCCCCAATCTCATCCTCCACTCGTCCCTCCTCTCTATCTCTCCCTTCCCGTCCCAAATATTAGGCTGTCCGAGTCGAGCTTCAACCGAAATTCCTTCTACCGCATCCTCCTTCGCACCAGCTCCTCCATAAACTCTCCGCGGCCCAAACAAGCTCGGCCGGTGCGCGCTGTTATTTCATTTCCCACCCGCATTCGGGAAAGCCCCGCCCATCGACGCTGGGATTGGGCAATAGTAGCTGTGCTCGCAAGCTGATTGGCTGATGGTGTGTGCCGGATTGGGTCAAACGTAAACAACAAAATAGAAACGTATATTTTATATTACGGATTTATGAATATATTCTAAATATATAAAAACATATTTCCAGAAGAGTTTGAGCTCATCAGCTCACAAACGCACTAAATTCAAACACACTTTCCTAGAAAAAGTGACTTTATTCTCGACATATTGACTCACTGTGTTAAAATAACGACTTACTAAATAATTACTATTTACTGTCTTGAAATGTTTCTAAATAATATGTTAGTATTTCAGGAAAATGTCATTATTTCAAATTGTGAAGTCAATTTTTAAAAAAGTCACTTTTTCAAGACGTTCAGTCAATATTGCAGCTACCGCAATAAAAGTGCTCCATAAATAAAAATATTATAATGAAAATTAGTATTATTTTGAGTTATTAAGTCAACATTTCAAGATTAGTAAGTCATTATTTTGAGATAATCAATATTGCAAAAAAAAATCATTGTTTAAAATAAATTAAAAATACGTCATTGTTTAGAGACACTAAATAGTTTAAGAAATAAATAAAGCATTATTTTAACAATATTTCAACAAAATATAATTATTTTGAGGTATTAAGTCAATATTTCAAGAAAATAGGTCATTATTTTGAGATATTGACTTTTTCTAATGAAAACAAAAAAAAAGCAAATAAAAGAACCGACTACAATAACAGAGAAAAAACTGAAAATCATACAACTAAAATTATTCAATGAAATAGTAGAATAGAGCAGTGAAAGAACCACATAGAACAAAAGAACCATCTGAATGGATTAACGGTTCTTTGGACAGTTAAAAGCTCATCTTTATATCTTATTTGGTTCTTTACAGAAACTTTAAAAAATGCTTCTATGTAGCACCAAAAATGGTTCCACTGTTGTGAAGGTAAGATGAGAGCACCGTGGTTCTGTATGGAACCTTTTTAGCTAAGATAGAAAACTAGTGTAGAAAGTCACACTGATAAGATCAGAACGTTAATATTTACATTTTAATATGAATGTAAATAAATTCTCCTGCAGACTGAGCTTCAGTATGACCTGCATGCTTAAGAAAGATGGTTCTTCAAGGGTTCTTTAGCAAAGACAGTGGTGCTTCATAGAACCATGAACACTCAGTGAACCCTTCGCATGATTAAACGGTTCTCTTCATGGCAAATGGCCATGAATCTGAAGAACCGTTTCACCAAGCAGAGAACCCTTTGAACATGAGGTGGTTCTATATAAAACTCATGGTTCTAAATAGAACCATTGCCTTTACCAAAGAACCCCTGAAGGACCATCTTTTTAAAGAATGTAAAATAAATACAAATAAATAATAAACAGGCCATGGAGATTAATTAATAACTTTTTACATTTTTAACAACAAAGAATCTCATGTTGTGCTTTTGTTTATTTGCATTTATTCTAATATTTTACAGTGTTTTATTTGGGTTTTACAGTGTTTTTTACCTTGAAAAAGTTGTTCTTTAAGGGTTCTGTAGAACCATTCGAATGCATAAAGGGTTCTGCGCACAGTTAAATAACTGTCTTTATGATGGAAATCACAGCATTAATATTTGTATTTTTTATATAAATATCAATGAAATTCTGCCCGTCCAGACCGACAGACTGAGGTTCAGACTGAACTACCAGCCAATCACAGCGCAGGAGGTGGGACGCCAGAAGCCAATCACAACGCAGAATTGGGATTTGCCTGAAAACAGGTGTGAAATAAAAGCTCCGCCCCTCGACCGCCATAATCCCAATCCGTGTTTAAAAGGGCGACACTGAGAGGAGGACCTACATTTAAAAGGGAAACACAGAGAAAAATACAATCGCAAACACATTTACTCACAATTACTCACAATTACACACATTTACTCACAATTACTCACAATTACACAGATTTACACACAATTACACACATTTATACACAATTACACACAATTACACACATTTACTCACAATTACTCACAATTACACACATTTACACACATTTACTCACAATTACTCACAATTACACACATTTACACACGTTTACTCACAATTACACACAATTACACACATTTACACACAATTACACAGATTTACACACAATTACACACATTTACACACAATTACACACATTTATACACATTACACACATTTACACACATTTACTCACAATTACACACAATTACACACAATTACTCACAATTACACACAATTAAACACAATTACACAAATTTACACAATTACACACATTTACTCACATTTACTCACAATTACACACATTTACACACATTTACTCACAATTACACACAATTACACACATTTACTCACAATTACTCACAATTACACACAATTAAACACAATTACACACATTTACTCACAATTACACACAGTCACAATTACACACAATTAAACACAATTACACACAATTACACACATTTACACACAATTACACACATTTACTCACAACTAAATACACTTACTCACAATTACACACATATACACACATTTACTCACAATTACACACGTTTAGAAACAATTACACACAAATTTACACACATTTATACACAAACACAATTACACACACTCACGATTACACACAATTACACACAGTTATACACATCTACACACATTTAGACACAATTACACACATTTATATACAATTACACACGATTACACACACTCACAATTACACACAAATACACACATTTATACACATTTACACACAATTACACACAATTATATACAATTACACACAATTACACACATTTACACACAATTACTCACAATTACACACATTTACACACAATTACACACATTTAGTCACAATTACACACAATTACACAGAATTACTCACAATTACACACAATTACACACAATTACACACATTTATATACAATTACACACATTTAGACACAATTACACACAAATTTACACACATTTATACACAATTAAACACAATTACACACACTCACGATTACACACAATTACACACATTTATACACATTTACACACATTTAGACACAATTACACACATTTATATACAATTACACACACTCACAATTACACACAATTACACACATTTATACACAATTACACACATTTACATACAATTACACACAATTACACACAATTACTCACAATTACACACATTTACTCACAATTACACATAATTACACACATTAACACAATTACACACAATTACACACATTTAGACACAATTACACACAAATGTACACACATTTATACACAATTACACACAATTACACACATTTACACACAATTACACACATTTATACACAATTACACACAATTACACACATTTAGACACAATTACACACACACACAATTACACACAATTACACACAAATTTACACACATACACATTTACACACAACTACACACAATTACACACAATTACACACATTTAAACACAATTACACACAATTACACACATTTATACACAATTACAATTACACACATATATATACATTTACACACAATTACACACATTTAGACACAATTACACACAAATTTTACACACATTTATACACATTTACACACATTGACACACATTTACACACATTTACACACATTTATACACAATTACACACAATTACACACACTCACAATTACACACAATTACACACATTTACACACAATTACACACAATTACACACATTTATATACAATTACACACAATTACACAGATTTACACACAATTACACACATTTGTACACAATTACGCACAATTACACACACAATTACACACAATTACACACATTTAGACACAATTACACACAAATTTACACACAATTACACACAAATTTACACACATTTATACACAATTACACACAATTACACACACTCACAATTACACACAATTACACACAATTACACACATTTAGACACAATTACACACAAATTTACACACAATTACACACAAATTACACACATTTATACACAATTACACACAATTACACACATTTACACACAATTATACACATTTGTACACAATTACGCACAATTACACACACAATTACACACATTTAGACACAATTACACACAAATTTACACACAATTACACACAAATTACACACATTTATACACAATTACACACAATTACACACACTTACACACAATTACACACATGTATACACAATTTAACACATTTATACACATTTACACACAATTATACAAATTTACAGACAATTACACACTTTTACACACAATTCTATGCCATTTTAACACAATTATTCCTGATTTTAAAGCTATATTATATAAGTAAAACAAAAATAAAATAGCTAAGCATTTAATAGAAACAAATAATAGCATTACGAAGATGGTTCTTCGAAGGTTCTTTAGTAAAGATAATGGTTCTCTATAGAACCATGATCCATTTGCATGCTTAAATGGTTCTCTGCGTGGTCAAATAGTTCTTCAGATTGATGGAGAATGTGTTCTAAACAGCACCAAAGAGGGTTCTGCAATTGTTACGATGTCAAGCTTGTGATATTAGAGGAACAGAACTGTATACAACACATTCTCCATCAATCTGAAGAACCACACACTACACTCACATTTATTTATTTACCTCAAATGGTTATAAAATATTACAAGTATTAACTATCACATTTGCCCTTATTTAGTTATTATTATATTAATAAAAAATCTGATCAAAATGAATAAAGTATGAGGTAATTTCCATCTTCGTAATATTTATTTATATATTCTCTGGCTGCCTGATCTCTCCATGTCAGACACACTGTCCTCTAAAACAAACACTTCACTGAAATTATGTAATAAACAGTTTAGCAGTTTAGCTCCACCCTTTTTGCTGCATATACATTAATGTCACCTGTTCCTCTGAATTATCAGGTCAGTGAAGAGATATTCCATTTGGTCAGAATTTCTGCATAATTAACAGTTATGAAACTTACCCAGAC